TAATAGCACCTTTCTTTCCTCTGACCAAGTGCCCTGTCCTTCTGCTCCACTTTACTACTGCCAGGCCTTTGAGGACTATGGCTCCTGTCCTGAGGTAGGTACCTTCAGTTCAGCACAGCCTGAGCAGGGGGAAGAACAGAAGGGAGAGTAGGTCAGCTCCTTGAGAAAGGGCTATCTGTGGAGCCAACCTCTTAAGACAAAGGATCTGCAGTCAGGAGCAAGAGCCCGGTTCCCGGACAAGCTGGGTTCCCCCTTGAGTGACCTGCTCTGATGTCCCCTTGATTCTCTCCTTTTGTAGTTACAGTAACACAATTTCCTTTGAATTTGGAGAAAGTTTTGTAACCACCCCCCAATATCAGAAATCTTTACATTAGATATTAAAATATTCTAATTACCATTAATAGTTACAGCCAAGAAATTTATGTTCATTTCAAGCTTTACTTTAGAAACTAATCACTGAACTAGTGGAGACAATTTTAAGTTCATAAGCTCAGGTACAATAACGTTTGCTATTTACTTGTAGAATTTTTCAGAGAATTTCCTGGTTTTTGAAGTAATGCTTTTAAAGAATATAAAAAGATGTTCAAGGTAAACTATACTATAAAATGATTTTAATGTAAGTGGAAGATTACAAATTGTTTTAAGTGGGAGTGGAAGGGGTGGGAATATTTCTGAAGATAAGATTTAGTCAAGAATTTCCTGAATATAGTTATTTTGATAAGATGCAGAATGCCTCTTTTTTTGTCTATTTCGATGTTGTCTTATAGCTCTAACTAAATGTACTTACCTATGCAAAAGACTTATTAAAGCATAGAAAAAATGAATGAAGAAAAGTGTAAAATAATTGTTTTTTCTCTTAAAGTATTGTTCATTTAAAAATAATGCTGGGTCTTGATGGTCATGTGACAATGTATAATGAATTAAAATATTCTTATAGTTAACTTCAATATGAATCTAGTTTATTTAATACATATTATATACAAAATTAATGAGCATAGAGGAAGATATTAAAACAGCTTTGGATGGTTACTTACTAGGTAGCATGTTTTCTGTGTACATTATCTTTTTTAATGTAGTCCCCACAATTCCCTTATGAAGTAGATATTTTGCCAAGTCCACAGAACTAATACTAATAAGTAAAGGAGGCAGACTTTAAATCTATGCTTGTCTTTCTTCTTAGTCTGTTCTCTTTTCATTGTACTTCACTAGAGTACAGTCTAGAACAGCACTGTCCAACAGAAAATGAAAGTGAGTTACATGTATAATTACTAATAGCTTCATAAAAAGAAAAATGGAATTTATATTAATTATATATTTTATTTAAGCCAGCATATTCAGAATATCATTTTGACATGTAATCAATATAAAAATATTAATGGGATATTTCACATTATTTTTTTATACTAAGGGATATTTCACATTAATTTGTTCATATTAATAACTGGGTACTCTTATATCCAGACATTTATATTTACATAAGTCATGAGAATATATAGAACAATTGAATAGAACAAGAAGCTCACAGAGACCCCCTAAATATATGAATTATAAGACAGCACTACAATCAGAGGTAAAAAAAAATGGATTATGTAGTTAAAAAGATTAGGAAAACTGAAAACTATAGAGAAAATTAAAATTACATACTACTATGTAAAAAGGTAGACTTTAAATGAGTAAATACTTAAGTATGAATAGTAAAATATAAAGCTAATAAAAATGATTGAAGCAAAATATCTTTGAAACCTCCAAAACACAAACTTGAGGTTAAATAAATGATGGGATGTATTATCTAAGAGTGGAAAGGTTTTGGCTGATAAATGGCTGCTGCCATGAAACTGTAAAGGGTGAAGAAATCCAGGACTATGGGATAGATTAGTTGCTCTACAGAGATGGAATCATAAAGGGATAATTTAGGCTCAAAGGCTTAAGTTCTCAGCTCAAGGCACAGTATAAAAATGAGAAAAATGCCTATGTTTTTGCTAAAAGAATATCTTCTCTCTTACCAGCTGTAAGGCTGAAATAACTGAAATCCAAGGTATTACATAACTCTCTGGTTTCCAAATTATACCAGGAGTTGCATTCATAGCCTTACCAGGCCTCATCTAAAAGTAAAGAGTAATGACCAGGAAACTGTAGGACCTGGATTTAGAATGGGGATGTATGACAGGGGGATTTGCAGTAGAGTAGTATTAACTACTAGAGGCCTGCCCCATGAAATTCATGCCTGGTTAGGGTCCCTAAGCCTGGCCTGCAATCAGAGCCAATCTTCCCCGGGGGGGGGGGGGGGGGGGGCGCCAGCAGCCAGCCCCGCCACCCACCCTGTTCCCCGTTCCCCATTGGGCGATTGGGGCCTGCAGGTTGGGGACAACTCCTGTGTTAAGCATCTACTCCCTAGTGGTCAGTGCATGTCATAGCCGATCAGTCATTCCACTGTCTGTCTAGTCGATTTGCATATTATGCTTTCATATATATAGATAGTCAGCATACTGAACATTATAGTCCGTGACTTATTTTATAACTGGAAATGATATGTTTCAACCCCTCTCACCAATTTCCCAATCCCCACACAGTCCCACCTCTGTCAACCACCAGTCTCTTTTATGTAGCTACTAGAGGCTTGGTGAATAAATTCGTGAACTGGTGGGGTTCCTCAGGGTGGCCTGCAGGATTTGGGCTGAAACCCCACAGTCGAATGCTGCCTGCAGCTCCCACCTGCCGCTCTCACTTATCCTGGTCCTACTGAGCCTGCCATGGGCTTGCACCCAATCAGTCCCAATTGGGAGAGGTTCAGAGCCCTGCATAGGGAGGGGCCTGCGGGATCAGGACAAAACTGGCTCTATGACATCCCCCGAGGGGTCCCATATTGCAAGAGGGCACAGGGTAGGCCTAGAGACCCCACTGGTGCATTACAGCTGTGCCCAGCTAGTGTAGTTCAGTAGTTAAGCATCAACTTATGAACCAGATCATGGTTTGATTCCCAGTCAGGGCTCCATCCCCGGTTGGGGGAAGGATTCAGGAGGCAGGCAATCAAAGATTCTCTCTTATCATTGATGTTTCTATCTCTCCCTCTCCCTTCCGCTCTGAAATCAATAAAATATGTATATTTATGAAAAACAAAAATAAAATAAAAGCCATTAAAAAAAAAAAAAAAAAAGGATGATAGCCAAAACCAGTTTGGCTCAGTGGATAGAGTATTGGTCTGCAGACTGAAAGGTCCCAGGTTCATTTCCGGTCAAGGGCATGTACATTGGCTGCTGGCACATCCCTGGTGGGGGGTGTGCAGGAGGCAGCTGGTTGATGTTTCTAGCTTTCTATCCCTCTCTCTTCCTCTCTGTAAAAAAATCAATAAAATATATTAAAAAAAAAAAAAAAAGATGACAGCTGCTGTGAAACAATTTCTCTTTCTTGGAGCAAATCAGTAGGTAGCTGTTGATTTATCTAATGCTTTTTTGTTTGTTTCTCCTTTATTCCAGTAAGCAGAGGGCCCCAAAGCAGTTTGTGCTATCATCAAGCAACATTATATACTGTCTTTTGTCAAGGTTTCATTAACTCTCTGATACTGTCCCAAAATAGTCCTGTTACCAGACCTTGATCATCTCACCATTGTACAGTGCACATGCTGGTCTGACACATTGGTGATGCTGTGCTCATAAGACCTGCGCACAAGTGCCATCAGGTTCCATGGATATCTGAAAAATACATTGTGGTAATGGGTAGATCAATCCAAAGGAAGCACAAGAGCCTCAGCCAAGTTTGTGGAGGTCCTGTGTCTGGTGCATGTTGGCATGTCACCTCCAAATAGTGTACTTTGTTCCACCAGTGTTTGTTGGGCTTCTTTGAATTTTGCAACTTTGGATTGTCGAGTTCTTTAAAAATCACAAATGGATGTTGAATTTTGTTAAAATGCTTTTTCTCACCAAACCCATTTATGGGCGGTCCACATGCTTCCAGCTTTAACTGGTTGAAGAAAAAGAAAGTCCTATCCCTCTGCTCCTGGCTGCATTGCCGTCCAAAGGGAGTTAGAATGGGCTCAGTATTGAGGCAAATCAGGATTCTGTGTTAGACCAGGGTTTTTGAGCAAACCATGCTTGCCTCTTCAGAAATACCTATTCTTTCAACTTACCCTTGGGCTACTTGAGGTAAAAGTAAAGAAAACTGTGAAGACCTCAGATAGGCTCCCTCAGGGCCTTCGCAAGTTCTCAGAAGGGATGGGTAGCATGTAAGCTGTCATACCTGGAAATAAGTTCACAGAAAACGTATTTCTAATTTAATATGGGGATGTTGTGATACGGTCCTTTAAGTCACCTGGCCCATTGTACATGTATTCTCAGCACTTAACCTAACACATACTAGCAGTAGACCAAAAAGGAATAAAAAGCAAAGAGTATACTTGGAGAAATATTGATTTAATTCGGTTTCAAAAAGACACTGTGACATTTATAATAAGCATTCTTTGCAAATAACCATTAAAAAATATAAGGTATCAGGATTCTTGTTACAGACAATGGAGACTGGTTCCTTTAAGAAAAAATAAAGGACATTGGATAGCTCAAAAGAGGTGTTAGCCAAACATTCAGTATGTCAGAAATGCGGGTGGCACTATGGATTTAAGCAGCAAGAGATCAACCTTCCTTTATAGGACGTTTCCAGTGAGCGACTTGGTTTCATTCACTTCTCCCAAACCATTTAGAGAAGGGGCAGTTCCCAAAGTGTGTGGCGGGGCGGGGTGGGGAGTGCTATGTGCTTTTATCAAGCAGACTAAACAAAGCCAGCAGTTTACTGTACATAGACAGCTAAGCTTTGAATGTTCATATATGTATTTTTTTTTCTCTAAAACCTGTACTTCTCCCATTATTAATGTTTCTAATAGGAATAAAATATTGCCACATGCTCATATTGGGCATGTAAAAGTTGGCTCTGAAAAATTACCATCAGAAATAGTTACAGAAGCAGGAAAGGTTTAATAAGCTAGAATTTATACCTTTGAGTTGTTTTTGTTCCATATTTTGATTCTTTAAGCTTGTTTATATGTCATTACTTTTGCCAATTTAATCAGAAAAATTGCTGAGTGGTTTGCACATATATTAGGTGCTTGGTGCATATTGTCTCATTTCAAAGGAAGAAAATTAATGGAGGGTTTTTTTTTTGAGCCTAAAAATGTGTAAATGCTAATTATACTTATTGATGGTTTGCGAGAGATTGTATGGGAAATGCTACATGAAGTTGTTTTCAGTCCATGTAAATCTTATTTGTTCCTTTGTTTATAAGAAAAGTGTGAGGCTCCGGTCTGAATCCCAGCTACATCCCAGGCTAGGAAGGGCAAACCGACGATTTGGCAAGGCAGGCCCAGGACACAGCCTCTGAGGTGTGCCCTGAAACTCATTCTGAACTAAACTCATTAAGAGCATTGGTAGAACAGAGTGGACCCAGTTCCAAGGCTTCAAGGTCAAGAGACTCAGGTTTGTGTCTGGTCAGTCTATCCCGTTTGTCCTCACCCTGGCCCAAGGACCTGTGTCTACATCTTAGACATGGAGAGTACAATCAGAATGAACTGTTATAAAAAACCCTGGAAGCTCCCCAGCACTTGCAGCAGTGATTGGCATCTAACCACGTATGGCAATACGGGGAGTCAGGCATTCCCCTGCAAGTGTCTAAATCTCAGCATCCAGCTTGGGCATCCTGGAGACTGTGGCCTCAGTGGGGTGCCGGGGACCCAGTGGAATGAAGTGCTTCCTGACAAGGGCAGAGAGACCATGGAAACCAGAGGCAGCTCAGGGTACCCCTTAACTCAGAGACTCCCAGAAATTCTTGGGAGGGGCAGATACTTTGTAATGAAAAAGTTTGGCAAGTGCCAATTTCGTAGGATTTATGGAAATAAACTCTCATTTTGAAAAAGGCTGGTGAAGCCTGTGAAGCTTGGAATTTTCGGGAGAGATGACAGTGACTTTCCGCCAAAACGTAGAGTTCAATTTCCCCCAGAGAGGTGAGGTCCACAGGCATCCACACTGGTCCTCTCCACACTCTTGCTCTGACAAAGACAGCCAGTATGCATCGCCTGTGGAACACTTCGTAGATAAGAAATCATATCTTTTTTGTGTGGCTAAGAACTGAACTAAGAATACTGTATCATTCTCTTTGGTATCATTAATCAACTGATGCAAACAGCCAAAGAGCACATGTCCTCTTCATTACTCTTGAGACTTCTGATTTCCTCTGCCATTACAGATAGGCTTCAGTTTTACTGAAAGAAAAATCTCAAAATCAGGAGTTTAAAATAAAGTAAGAAATGTAGCAAACATGCTATATGTCTTTGTTCTCATTTTAAACTTGATTTAGAATTTATCCCTAATAATGAAAGAAAGTGTGGTGTGCCATCTGTATATTAGCATCATGAAAGGGAGAGTTATTATTCTTATTTGTGAATTCAAAGATGCAGTTGGACTATTGACATTAACTATGGGCTTTGGACTCCTCTTTAATCAAATCAGCTTCCCCAGTTGAATTGACTGCTTTTATTAAGTTACAGTTAAATAGCTTCCAGTTAATACAAGAGCATGGACATAACATCATGAGCGCACTGCTGACAAGTTAAAAGGCCCGTGTGAAAATTCTGCAGCCAGGTTTCTCACAGGCCTCCAACCAGTTTATTTTGGTTTTATTAACAGATACTGACTTGGTGAGATTACAAGCATAGGCCTTTTAATGTGAATAGCCTCCTAGGAATCTGAATTTTTGCTTTCAATGCCAAATAATATCTGGAAAACATGCTCACTTTTGTGTTTTTTCAGGAATTCTAAGAACTGGCCCAGATTCATGTGATAGTCATTCCTTAATCCGTAGTCACCATGGGCCTCAAGGAGTAATTCTTCGAAAGAATGGAAGAGTCTCAGGTCCTCCCCATTTCCTTCAGTCTCGATACTTTCAGCATGCTTACAGGAAATGTGTTTCCAATTGGGATACCTGATCGTGTGCCAGAATTCCTCACAGGGCTCTTTGAAGCCTTCCACACAGATTATACCAGGCTTTCCTGTCATACAAAATCCAGTCACATCTAACCTCTTCCCAGCATCCAAAATCTTCTTCCTGAGGTCCTGCTGATAAATGTGGTGGCTGTAGATCCACATTCGGAGAAATACGTTCTTGACCGGCTTTGCTTGTGTAGATGGTTCATAAACGAGCTTTCTGTTCAGGAAATAGGGGGCACTGTTGTCCTGTAGCCACTGGATTGCTGCACAGACACAGAGCTCACCTGGATCGAAAGTCCCTATGTAAGAAGTGAGCCCTCTGTTGAGAAGTAGCTGCTGTTGTCTGTCCAGCTCAGATGACCGTCCAAACAGCTGCAGCGCTACATAGGGATAGCTGTGGGGCATGGTTACTTGCAAATCAATTTTCACCTTAAAATGGAAATCAAATAGATTTTTAAATCAAGTACCATCAAATCACCTCAGCTAGTTTATCAGTAGCGACTGCATGATTTTAGTAAGTATAATAGTGACTGCTACTATTGGCATCTGTGTGCCAGACACTGTACTAAGTACTTTACGCTACTCCTTCAATTTATACATTCATTTATCCCCGTATTTATCAAACACCTAACCAGGTGCCAGGCACCCTATGCTAGAATAAAGAAGTGAAGACACCATTTCTACCCTGGTGCAGTCCAGAGCCTAGTGAAGGAGAGACAGACATTAAACAAAACATTATGCATAGCCCAGTATTTCATTTCAGTGGTGAGCAGCATTACTATGGAAGAGTGAGGGACCCATGGAAATGCGTAAACAGGGGGACCGAATCCAGCCTGGGGAACCAAGACCTCTCCTTGTGGGGATGATAAGGATGAGTAGGAAATAGAAGAGTGGCTCTCAAGTGTCTAGTCTGCTTACTGCCTGTGCTATGGTAATGCTGGAGATAGGCGGGTCAGAATGAGGAAAATTCATTTTCAGTGTTTAGATTTCTATCTGTTTGCTGTGTTAGGGCACCACCAAAGAAACAGCCATTCACTCCTTAAAAGCCAGTTTTGCTAAAGGCCACATTTATATTTGTGAAAATCATATATGTACAAGAGAACCCATACTATAATAGTTGGATTGGTAAAAAAAAAAAACAAAAAAAAAAAACTGGATGACTGAGTAGAATTATGGTAGTGAAACATTTTTTAATTAAAAAAAAACAAAACAATACTAGATACATTTGTTAAAGATGTGCATGTTCATGTAAAACTCAGGATGTTTACTGAAGACAATTTACAGGGCACCGTATTTTACGTATTTTGTTTTCAAACCAGGAAAGGAAAGAAATATCCTGTTTCCTCAAACTGAAAGCTCATGTTTCAAGTGTTTCCAATAAAAACGAGGCACCTGATAATTAAAACAACTCAAGGCACTTACCTTGGGCTCCTCAATCTGGAGTGTAATCACAAATTCGATTTTTGGTGGCAGCGCCTCCCTTGTGCCTTCCAAATACCTTTTTATGGTCGTCAGGGCATTTACATCCTCCAGTTTCACTTCCCCTTGGTTGGGAAACATGGACAATAGCATTTCCATCTCCAGCAGCTGGAGCTGCAGGCACTCTTTAACAGAAGCGGAGGACATGTTGCCTAGAAACCAACCTGCCAGGAAAACTGGAAAGGCCCAGGGATTTGTCAGTCAGCAATGCTCAGCGAAATTTCCCGACGTGCCCTTTGCGTGGAAGCGGTTTTGCAGGAAAACTGGACACAGAGCGAGGGGTACAAACCGGGGACACGTACACTTTCTGCCTTACCTCCCGGATCCAAAATCTAGTTTGCACAGCCTCCCCAAGATATTTCCTTAGAATTCAGATTCCCGGCCCTTCCCCCCAACTCCCGCTCCCGTTCTGGATCCGGGGACGTGGACTTTCAACAAGTGCTCCAAATTATTCCCTTGCAGGTGGTTGGCAAACACCTGCGGATGCACAGCGAGCCTGGGTTTTGGGAAAAGGCCAGGGGCCCGGCTTGCATCCTCCCAGGTCCCTGGCGTGGGCGGAGCTGGACTTTGCGGTGTGGGAGCCCCGCAGTGCTGGGGGCTGGGGGGCCGGAGCTTTGGGTTCCCCGGCTCTGGGTTCTTGTGGGCCCAGCCACCACCACCACCGTCAGAGGTGGTCCCACCACCTCGGCGCCCAGGGTCCCTCCCGGGTGGTCCTTTCCGCCTCTCCCGAGCGCCCAGCCGCCCCCGGGCGGCGTCCAGAGAGCTCCGACGATTCGGATCCCTTCGCCTCTGCCCCAGGGGTCTACGTGTAGCTGGGGGGATGGAAGGAGGGAGGAGGGGGATCCTACAGTTACATAAATAAAATGAGGGTTAGTGTCAATCTGAGCGGAGATGGGGCGGGGCGGAGGCCCAAGAATCCGGCATCCAAAGGTTTGGGAGATGAACTCCGGGCCTGCAGAAGCGGATGCGGGACATCAGGTGGCCGAGGCCACCTTGTCAGAGGCCTCACATCGGGGCTGGCATCCCCCATCCGGGACCCTAGGATCTCCAGCTTCCCCCAAACATGGATCTATCCCTCCTCCCTCCACCCAAATTTGCAGGCGGGGCTGGGTATGTCGTGGTCGCAGTGCTCGGACCCCTGGCCCCAAACCCCGGACCCCGGCGGAGGCCTCACCCTTCCTGGTCATTCAGCGGACACAGCGCCCAGCCCGCAAGAGCCTGGAGCCGCAGTTCCTGCAGGCGCCAGCAGCGCGGGGGGCGGGCGGAGGGGCGGGGCCAGCGAGCCCTCCCCGTCGTGATTGGCCGGGGGGCGGGGCGACGAGCCGGAAGCCACGCAGGGCCACGTCTGCGGGTTCCTAGAGCGTCCGAGCGGTACGAGGCGCGCCGCGCGGCTGGGGCTTCTCCGCGGGGCGCCGGGGAGGGTGAGTCTGCTCGGCCGAGGTGAGCGGGCCCTGGCTGGGCGGCGAGAGGGCACGTTCCGGCCCACGGGGCTCCGGCCGCCCGCGGGCTGGCGGGTGGGTAACGGACTGACCGGCCCGCTGCTCGCCGGACACACCCACCGCCGCTGTGCCCGGAGCGGGCGGGCCGGCCCGGGGGTCGCGTGCCGGGCGGCGCGTCCCCCAGCCCGGGCGGGGCTCCGGGGCTCCGGGGCTCCGGGGCTCCGGGGCTCCGGGGCTCCGGGGCTCCGGGGCCTCGGGCCGGGCCGGGCCGGGCCGGGCGGGAAGGAGCAGCCTCGGTGCTGAAGATGGGATGGAGGGGAGGGGGCACGTGGACGGGGAGGTCCTTTTCCTAAAAGCTCTCACGTACCCATTCAAAGTTAGTTTCAGCACCAAAAACGCATTAAGGGGTGGACGCGTTTTATCTTAATAATAATAATTTAAAAAAAAGACCTTTGGGAACTTACAGCGTTGGTGTACGCCCTGTGAATAACCGTGATACATTACCCACTAGTCAATTTTTAACAAAATGTGTTCATGCTTGGAAAAGAGAAATTTGATCACTTTGGACCGAGCTAAGTCAGCTTGGCGAACGCCAGCTTTTTTTCCCCAACCGAATAAAACATTTTTTACCGTTTTCTTTAACTTTTGTTCATTGCTTCAATGAGCAAAAGTTAAAGGAAACAAGATGCAGGCAGACCTTATTTCAGAGCGCTTAGCTTTATGGCGCTCCACAGGTGTATTTTATAAATTGAAGGCAAGGTCCTCCGCCAGCAAAAGGATTGACTGGCTTTGTTGGCGTTGCCTGTTTATTGCCTGGAATCCAGCCGCATTAGCTGCCTGGTCTGCCCGTGGTGAGGCTGGCAGCCTGGGACTGCTGCTCCTCTCAGGGCTAATGGGAAATGGGGCTTACCCAGGGGTGAGGAGTACCTCCAGCTGAGGGTGGAAGCCCCAAGTTCCCCTTGAAATGGGAGTATTCCAGAGAAGGAAGTGGCTAAGTGGTCTAAGTAAAGTTAGAGGGCTAACTAAGGTCAATGTTTGATTTTTTTTTTTTTTTAAACTAAAGGTAAATGGAAGATGTTGCTTTCAAAGCCTGCCCCTCCCTCCCTCCCTCCTTTCCTCCCTCCCTTCCTTCCTTCCTTCCTTCCTTCCTTCCTTCCTTCCTTCCTTCCTTCCTTCCTTCCTTTTTTCCCCAAGGATATGTTCATTATTTTGAGAGAGAGAGGAAGGGGGAGAGTAACATCAGTTACCTCCCCTTTGCACCCAGCAGGATGGAACCAGCAACCTAGATATGTGTCCTGACCAGAACCAAACCCTAAACCTTTTTGGTGTGTGGGAGGGTGGTCCAACCAAGGGGAGCCAATGGCTGGGCCAGAGTTTAATTAATTAATTAATTAATTAATTTTATTTATTTATTTTAAAATAAATTTTTATTGTTCATATTACTACAAATGTTTCTTCCCCCCCCCTCCATTGCTCTCCTCCACCAGGTGCCCACCCCACCCTCTGCCCTTTCCCCACTCCCCATTGTCCTCATCCATAGGTGCACAGTTTATGTTCAGTCTCTTCCCACATCCCCCTCTCCCCTTTCCCCCAAGAATCATCAGTTCACTCCATACCTCTGATTCTATTATATTCAACAGTTAATATTGTTCATCAGATTTTTTTTTTAAATTTCCTTGGTTTTAGATTCACTTGTTGATAGTTACGTATTTGTTGTTCATAATTTTTATCTTTATTTACTTTCTCTTCCGAAAGAACCCCCTTCAGCAATTCATATAATTCTGGTTTGATGGTGATGAACTCCTTTAGCTTTTTTTTTTTATTAGTGAAGCTCTTTATCTGGCCATCGATTCTGAGTGATAGCTTTGCCGGGTAGATTATCTTTGGCTGTAGGTTCTTACTATTCATCACCTTGAATATTTCTTGCCATTCCCGTCTGGCCTGCATGGTTTCTGTTGAGAAATCCCAGGGTCCTTCAGTACTCTCTGCAAGCACCTTGAGAGAAAGGTCCCCTCGATTTTCGCCTGCTGCCAAACAGTCTCTACTCTCCCCAATGAGCCCGTAACTGGGGTTCAGTTCAGTTGGAAGTGGAGTGGAGGTGGCGTTAGAGCAGTCTGGAGCCCGTTCATTCGCCGGGCAATCGGGGCCAGCAAACCGTCCCTTCTCTGCTCGCAATGTGCGCACCGCCGGGACCTCCTTTCACCGCTCCCCCGGGGTTCCGCCTTACAGCCCAGCTCCCTATGGATGAGCCTGGGTCCCCTGGGTCTGGCCTAGAATGGGGTTCAGAGCAGTCGGAACTGGGGCCTAGCACAGTCGGAGCTTTTATCTCCTTCCCACTAGGGAACACCAGCCAGGCACTCAGCCGCCCCCTCCTCTCCGGCTCCGTCCTCTCCGCGCGCACCGTGTGTCTCCGTACCTTAGGCTTTTACAGCTCCTCCGCTCTTCCTTCTGGTTTTCTCCTTGCTTTTCATTGTAGAATTTCCAGTCAGTTGACTTTCCTGTAGTTCTGGGTAATGTCCAGTCACTTATACTGAGTTCCCAAAGCTGCTTTCACCACTAACTCCATGGTCACCTGGTATCTCTACCAGGTGTTTACCTGTGCAGCTATCTTGGATTCTCCTCCATTTAACCATTTTTATTCAGCTTAGTATTGCAAGTCATGAAGCTGCAGAAGACCCTAAATAGGCGAAGCAATCTTAAGAGTGAGGAACAAAGTCCAGAGTTTAATTTAGAAGTGTGTCCTGATTCTCCCTTATGAGGATGGAGCAGTCCCCTGTAAGGCATTGGAGAGGAAGGAGACTGTTAACTTTGTTTTCACCTGGGAATAGTCTTTGGAGGCTCGGAAGAATTACAGAAGAACTACACAGATTTCCCAGATATTTTGGATATGTAGGTCCAGTCCATTTGAGAGCATGACCTTGGGCTTTAGGGTCATCAGTTGCCCATAGTAAATGGAGCTTATTTAATGGAGGCCCAGGCTGAAGCTGATCCACTTGTAAAACGAGATGATTTTTGTTCTTGTAGGAGTCTAGGAATCTTGCTGTGGAATCTTCATTTTAGTTGAGAGTGGACCATTTTAAATTCGACCCAAGACCAGGGATATCCCTAGAGCCAAAATGGGAGACGAGTTGGAAATAATCTGACCTCTGCACGGAGTGGACAATATAATTGGGGCAGGATTTTCTAGATACTACTAACTCCCAGGACTTATTCTGTCATTCTTCACTCTCTTAAAAGATCTTGGGGGGGGGGGGGGGGGGGTCACAGTAAGGCATGCCTTATCAGTTTGGGGTGGCAGTTTTTGAAGCAAATGGTCCTTGAAAGTTTTCTTAATATGCCTGAAAAATATTCCTTAATTTTGCAGACATGGATTTAGATGCTATTACAAAACACTCGGCATTACACGCCAAGCCCAGCGGACTCATTCTTCAATATGGCACTGCTGGATTTCGAACAAAAGCAGAACATCTTGATCATGTCATGTTTCGCATGGGATTATTAGCTGTTCTTCGGTCAAAACAGACAAAATCTACAATAGGAGTCATGGTAACAGCATCACACAATCCTGAGGTAATGCATTTAGTTCTCTGATAAAGCAAACCTTTATTTACAAGACCTAACCTTAATGCGTCTGAGCAGTTTGACCTAGTGTTCAAATTCTAATTCTGGGAATGGGCCCTTATGTCGTTTTGTGTCTTTGGATGTGAAATAGCTTTTTCTGAATGAGTAGTCATATGGCTCATGATTCAGTAGAGGGTGTGGGGAGGATGAAATGAGTCTGTTATTTTGTGGGGAGTGTCCACATTAGAGAAATAACAAAATGTCCTTCCAAATTAGTTGCCACAGTATCAGTAATAAAAAATCTTTCCTCTCTTAATTCAGCAGAAATTAGAGAGATTAGAAGCAAGGTGGGGAAAGGGAAAACGTTTGCAAAGACTTAGTACATTTTGAAAAATTTCAGACAGGTTTTTTTTTAATAGCTAGGGAATAGTTTTCTATTCTGAAGAAATAGCCAAACAGGAGGCTCCAGGGATCCAAAAGTGAGCTCTGGACAAAATGTTGATGAGGCTCTTGATGTTTATGACAAGTTTTTATCAAAGTACTAGAGGCCTGGTGCAGGGATTAGTGCACATTGAAAGGAAATTAATTAGAAGGTGGCACCTGGGGTGGCACCAGAGCTTGAAGGGTGTCTGTGAAGTGAGCGGGGTCCCTCCAGCAGGTGAGGTCCCTTGGCCTTGCCTGTGGGGATTGGGCTGAAACCAGCAGTCCAACATCCCCTACGGCAGGCGTCTTCAAACTACGGCCCGCGGGCCACATGCGGCCCGCAGAGGAGTCTGATCCGGCCCGCCAGGTTTTTTGGGCAGTGAGCGCAGCCGAGGTGTTACAGTAGGAATTAGTAGTTCATATAGTCCGGCCCTCCAGCTCTCTGAGGGACCGTGATCTGGCCCCCACTTTAAAAAGTTTGAGGACCCCTGCCCTACGGGGTCCCGTTGTGCTACATGGCTCTGCGTTGAGCATCTACCCCCCCCCTTGTGGTCAGTGGGCATCATAGCTACTGTCCAGTCACTTAGGCTTTTATATATACAATATATATAGATTCCTTTTGATACAACTACACTTTTATTCTGTGGCTCACTAATACAGGATGGGGTAAAAACAGTTGTGAGTATGCGAAACACAATATATTCTTGTGTTATTATTTAGTATTGTATTATTTTCCATACGAACGACTGTAAACCTACTTTTGCCCCACCATATACATGATTTGAATAATATGCTTCCGTTTGGTTACTAGGGCATAAGATTTTTGCCTTTGTAGCTAAATCAAAAGTAAGTTAAAGCTATGTAGGATTGTA